TAGGAGGGGGACTGCTAAATCTGAATGATGCCTCCAGTAGTGGTGAGTCTTTATTATAGATTGTGTTTTTCTGTCCATTTGGGGGCTGGAGATTTTTTAAACCCGAGAGAAGAAAATAGATGTATTGTTATAAGCAATAGTCAGTACTTATATGCTAAAAACAAGACCATTTAATACATAATGATTATCTCCCTACATGGATATCCCTAATTTGCTGTTGTTTCTGAAAGTAGCAGTACTATTATGCAATTGAATGATTGCTGTTTTATACTAAAAATAATCTCAACTAGAGAAATAAGTGTTTTTTCCAAATATTGATACATTCTGCCCATAAAACTCTAATGTACTGTTCGTCTAGAAGAAAGAAACATTTTATGAATGTTCAAAGACGTTTTTGATTTGGAAAATTTGAGGCACCAGGAACTTTACTGACCTGATGAAACATACACAGGCATAACTAAGAATATACAAAGTGAAACAGAACATGTACGCAATGCATGGCTTTCTAGACAGTCGTTTGCGGATGATAGTGGCACAGTCTATTGGCAGAGTGTTGTGCTAGAGCCAACTCGTACTGACTAAAGTTTGGTAAATTTTTAGGAAGGATGGTAAATTTTAAAAAGGATGAATTCTAAATGAGTCAGAGATTTAAAGGTTTAATATAAAGCCATACGTGTTTTAGGAAAAAAATACATGGGTGAATTCTTATAACCGAGTTCAAGAAAAACTTTCCTGACTAGTCTTAAACCATTCCAGGGAAAAAAAATGTTTTATTACACACACACACACACACACACACACACACACACACACACTCAACTTTTGCATGACAGAAAACTCCATAAGCAAAGTAAAAGGATAAATGATAAACTGGAAAAATTATTAGCCACCTATACTAAGAATGGTTGATAGACTAGTACATAAAATTCTTCTAAAAACAAAGAAGAAACATGCCCCAAATCATATTTAAAAGGCAAGATATATCAACACAATTTCCAGGAAAGGCAGTGTAATGTCCCTTAAATATATGTAAAGTTACTCAACCTCATTCACTCCTAATGTGAGAAATGCAGCTTCTCATAATCAAATCAGCAAAAATCCAAATGTAACAGAATATTTCTTGACAGAACTGTGGAGAAACAGGTACTTTGATGCATTTCTTGTACAAATGCAAAAAGTGGAGTGGAATTTGACAATATTAACCAAATTAAATTTGCGCTTACCATTTGACCCAGCAATCTCTCTGTTAGGAATCTATATCAAAGGCACACTGGTAAATGTACAAAAAGACATACGCACAAGGCTAATCATTGCAGTGTTATTTGTAAATGGGAATAAAAAAGTCTTACCAATAAAAATGTCCATCAATAGATGGTTGGTTGATTAAAATATAGTGCATCCAAACAGAGTAATTTGCAGCTATAAAAAATAATGGGAAATATCTTTAGATAATATTATGTAGTGATCTCCAAGTGGCAAAAAATACTTATAGGATGCTAACATTCATGAAAGAAGAATTAATATAGAAGGAAGTATAAACCATGGTTTACAAATTTTTTTCATAGAGTTGGAAGTGGGGGGAGAACAATTTAAGGGACAGGGATAGAAGCTAGAAATCTCTGAATAGATATGATTTTTATAAACCATGGTTTACAAATTTTTTTCATAGAGTTGGAAGTGCGGGGAGAACAATTTAAGGGACAGGGATAGAAGCTAGAAATCTCTGAATAGATATGATTTTTATATTGTTTTATAAATTTCACTTTGGACAATGTACATATTTACATAATTATGAAATTGTTTTTAAGGATCTCTAAAATGGAAAGAAAAATGTTACAAATGAATTGTAACTCTTTAATGCATTGTTGGCATATCCTCACAGAAAGGAACTTTTCCAAATGATTTAAGAAATCATACTTTAACTCTACAAGCATTCAAGTCAGTGATAAAACTTAAAACTGTCTTCAGTAATCATATAATTATTTTGAGACTGTTGACCAGAAATTGTGGTTTAAAGCAAATTTGCAATTATGTTGGTGTCAGTGCAAGCTTAGATTTTCAGCAGGGGGCAAAGTAGATACAGACATAAAATCAATCAGTTTAAGCAAAAACTTCACAGTCTTGTAATTGAATTGGTAGTAGCAGTGGGAACTTGTATTTTTTTAGAAGAATATTTTCTATCTCTTTCCACTGAAAATGCCTGGAAACAAAGACCAAGTTAAATCTGAAAATTTGAATTAGTCTTGGTGGGTGTTTATTATATTTTGGGACAAATTACATTATTAGGGTGAAATGAGTATACTCTCAGAAATCACTTACCTTTACAACACTGGAAATATGCTCCAAGTGCATTCAGGAGTAATTCTTCTGGTAAGCTAGGGCTCTTTGGACTGCCTTAAAATTAAAGATCCTCTAAGGACAGGATTGCTGAGCTTTAGTCTACATCAATTGCCTCCCAGCTCAAAAGAATGGTGCCTCAGATGGAAGGGAAAAAGGAAAGAAGCTTAATTTGGAAAGAAATTAAGTTTCAGGTGTATGTTCAGTTTTTCAAATGCTAGCGAGCCTTCTCTGCTTTTTGTAAGTCTTCTTTTTACTTGGACAGCAGATGAGCAGGAAAGACCAAGTTCAAGACAAGAGGAAAATACAGGCAAAAGTTGAGAATTATTTTAGCCTATAACTCTAGAAACACTTCTTTTTCCTAATTTACATAAGAACTTAGGCACCAAATCACAAAATTTTGGAAAAAATGTTTCTTCACTAAAGATTTTATTGACATAAACTTTTTTGTCCTCTAGATAAAGAGAAAATCATTTTCTTATTAAATTATGAATTTATTTAACATCAACCAATAACAATAACTATCACTTACTGAACTACCACTTACTTATGTCGTTTCAGTGTAGTCTTCATTAATTCTCACACAGTCCAATGAGGTATGCTCTGCAATTTGCAGGGACTTTTTTATAAAATTGAATTTTTCCTCACTTTGAAAAAAAATGTCTAGAGATACCATTTCATATCTTTCTAACATAGTAGAATCCTATTTTGTCCAAAGTTCTTCCTCTAGTAAAGGGAGAAGCCAGAATTTGAACACAGGCATTCTGACATCAGAGGTCACATTCTAAACCACTGACCTAATGATCTTGGTGAATGTGGAACTAAGCACTGAAATAAGTGCTAGTTCCTAGTAATCACTAATCTGCTTTCTGTCTCCATACTCTGCTATTCTGGACTTTACATATAAATGAACAGATCATATAATAATATGTAGTCTTTTGTGTTTGGCTTCTTTTACTTAATATGATGTTTTCAAGTTTCATCTAGGTTGTAACGTATCAATACTTCATTCTTCTAATTGCCAAATAATATTCCATTTTTTGGATGTGCCATATTTTCTTTAGCCATTTATCAGTGATGGGCACTTGGGTTTTTGCCACTTTTAGGTTTTTGCCACTTTTAGAGTTACTATTAATAATGCTGCCATAAACATTTATGTATAAGTTTGTGAGTACATATGTTTTTAAAACTCTTGAGTATATACTTCAGGGTAAAGTGCTTGTTCATACATATGGTATCTCTTGTTTAACATTTTGAGGAAATACCAGACTGAACATGGAATTTCTTTCCATATATTTTAATCTTTTAAGATTTCCTTCAACTGTGTCTTGTAGTATTTACAGAACAAGCTTTTCACTTCTTTTGTTAATTTTAGTGCTATTTCACTTTGTCGATGCTATTGTAAATGGAATGTTTTCCTTAATCTCATTTTTGAATTGTTTATTGCAAGTTTATAGGAATACAATTAATTTTTGTATGCTGATGTTGTATCCTGCAACCTTGCTTAGCTCATTTAGTAGTGCATTACCTTTTAAGTGTATTCTTAGGATTTCCTATGTATGAGATAATGCCATTTATGAATAGAAATAGTTTTACTTCTTCCTTTCGAGTCTGGAGGACATTTAATTATTCTTCTTGCCTAGTTTCCCTGGCTAGGACCTTCAGTTAAATGTTGAGTAGGAATAATGATAATGAAAAAACATCCTTATCTTGTTCTTGATTTTAGGGATAATTCATTCAGTCTTTCACCATTAAGTATAATGCTTGCTGTGGTTTTTTTATAGATGCCTTTTATTAGATTGAGGAAGTTTCTTCCTATTCTTAGTTTGTTTGGTATTTTTTATCCTGGAGGGTTGTTATATTTCAACAGGCGCATTTCCTGCATCTTTTGAGATTATCAGATGTTTTTGTCCTTTATGATATATGATGCATTGCATTAATTTTTGATGTTAAATCAATCTTGCATTCCTGGGATAAATCCCACTTCCTCAAGGATTTTTATATGTTGCTGGATTCAGTTTGCTAATATTTTGTTGAGGATTTTCGTGTCCATATTCATAAAAAATATTGCTCTGTAGTTTTCTTTCCTTGTAATGTCTTTGTCTGGTTTGGTGTCAGGATGACACAGTCCTCATCAAATGACTTGAAAAGTATCCTGTCCTCTTTCTTTTTCTGGAAGTGTTTATAAAGTATTGGTATTAATTTTTTAAATGTTGCTAGATTTCAGCAGTGATGCCATCTGGGCCTGAGCTTTTCTTTTCTGCTCAGTCTTTGATCACTAACTCAAGGTCTACTTATAATATTGCCTATTTTTTCTTGAATCAGTTTAGGTAGTTTGGGTATTTTTAGGAAGTTGCCCATTTTATCTAAACTGTCTAATTTATGACACAATTGTTCATCCTTTTAATTTTGTAGGGTCAATAGTGATGTCCCCTCTTTCATTTCTGATTCTAGTAATTTGAGTGTTCCTTTCTTCTTGGTCAGTCTAGGTAAGGGCTCATCAATTTTGTTGATGTTTCAAAGACAAGATTTTGGCTTCATTGATTTTTCTCTATTCTCTATTTCATTTATTTTTGCAAAAATCTTTATTATTTCCTTCATTTTGTTTACAATAGATTTAGTTTGCTCTTATTTTCCAGTGTTTTAATCTGGATAGTTAGATTGTTTGAAGTCTTTATTTTTCTTCAAATATAGACATTTACAGC